ATAAAGGTGAGCTGGACAAGGCTAAAGATTATTATCAACGAGCACTGGAAATTCGACAAAAACAACTAGGTCCAAACCATGTTGATGTTGCAGCTTCTTATAACAACATTGGTGTGGTGTGTCGTGATAAAGGTGAGCTGGACCAGGCTAAAGATTACCATCAACGAGCACTGGAAATTCGACAAAAACAACTAGGTCCAAACCATGTTAAAGTTGCAGCTTCTTATAACAACATTGGTGTGGTGTGTCGTGATAAAGGTGAGCTGGACCAGGCTAAAGATTACCATCAACGAGCACTGGAAATTCAACAAAAACAACTAGGTTCAAACCATGTTGATGTTGCAGCTTCTTATAACCACATTGGTGCGGTGTGTCTTGATAAAGGTGAGCTGGACCAGGCTAAAGATTACTATCAACGAGCACTGGAAATTCGACAAAAACAACTAGGTCCAAACCATTTTGATGTTGCAGCTTCTTATAACAACATTGGTATGGTGTGTGGTGATAAAGGTGAGCTGGACCAGGCTAAAGATTACCATCAACGAGCACTGGAAATTCGACAAAAACAACTAGGTCCAAACCATGTTCATGTTGCAGCTTCTTATAACAACATTGGTGTGGTGTGTCGTGATAAAGGTGAGCTGGACCAGGCTAAAGATTACCATCAACGAGCACTGGAAATTCGACAAAAACAACTAGGTCCAAACCATGTTAAAGTTGCAGCTTCTTATAACAACATTGGTATGGTGTGTCGTGATAAAGGTGAGCTGGACCAGGCTAAAGATTACCATCAACGAGCACTGGAAATTCGACAAAAACAACTAGGTCCAAACCATGTTAAAGTTGCAGCTTCTTATAACAACATTGGTATGGTGTGTCGTGATAAAGGTGAGCTGGACCAGGCTAAAGATTACGATCAACGAGCACTGGAAATTCGACAAAAACAACTAGGTCCAAACCATGTTGAAGTTGCAGCTTCTTATAACAACATTGGTATGGTGTGTCGTGATAAAAGTGAGCTGGACCAGGCTAAAGATTACCATCAACGAGCACTGGAAATTCGACATAAACAACTAGGTCCAAACCATGTTGATGTTGCAACTTCTTATAAGAACATTGGTAGGTGCGTCGTGATATAGGTGAGCTAGACCAGGCTAAAGATTATCATCAATGAGCACTTGAAATTCAACAAAAGCAACTAGGTCCAAACCATGTTGATGTTGCAACTTCTTATAAGAAACTGGTCATAAAGGGGGGTGGCTGGAAAAAACAGGATGTGGTAGATCGAATTTTGGATTTCTAATTTTAACAGCAGTTTTGGGATGGGTCATAGTAAAATGTGCTTGATTTATATAAATTTCAAAAGGTGGTGAACGTTATTAAATATTATCTTTTATTTTTACAAAACATGGTTGGAGAAATGTCAATGAAGAAATACAATATGTATTAAACACAAAGTTGCGGAGAATATATATTTGCATTTAATCACGGCTAATTTATCACGGTTTTATCAGGGATAAATAAAATATATTAATATTTTATAAACTAGGGTATTTGCAAGGTAGGGATTGCTGCGGGCATTAAGTGCGAATAGACCTAAATAGTACAAATTCTATAAAGCGCAGTTATTATTTGCCGTGAGCGAGGGACTGGTGAGCACTGTGGCCGGAGCCGTTAAGGATACGGAATCGATTCATGCACTGAGTGTAACTGAGAAAAAGAAAGCATTGCATTTGTTGCCAAGACCTTTGAGTTGAAAGAAATGCTACAATGTAATTCTACACCCGTTATGCATTAGGTTTTCGTGCGCCTTAGATCATCTCACACAAAGAATAATTGGTCCGTTCTGCGTGACATGTTTCAAATAATCTCACACCTCGCCGATTGTTGTGACCTTTGGAAATTTTGAACCAAGAAGAGAAAAGTTGTGGCTGTTGAGTCTCTAAAGGCCTGATTCCACGAGCGCTTTTTCTTGGCGAAATGCGAATTATTTCGCCTGTTTCTTTTGAATTGCGACCACTTGAATAAATTATTTCTACTTGATTGCTCACAATTCGAAAGAAACAGGCGAAATATTTCGCATTTCGCCGAGAAAAAGCGCCCGAGGAATCAGGCCGTTACTGATCATGAATACTGAGCACGCGTTTGAAATATGTATATATGCATGATCATCAGGAAGAGCTTACTCGTAGAGTTATCATGCCTTCAGCAAACAAATGCTCAATTCGAATTAATGACAACCTAGTGTACGCGTTCCTTTCATGGCACTTCAAGAATATTTTGAAAGCTGAGGTTAGCGATCACCATGGGAAAACGCGTATCAAGGTAAAACTCTCTATGATTACATCTGTTAAACCATTTATCTTACTAATAGGGGCACCGCATAACAACGCGTACGGGCCGATAGACCGCTCAATTGTTTGTGTTGGCTTATTTGCGCACAATTTAGTATAGGAGTTTCAAATCAGAAACAGAATTGGGCTTGACTTTATTATTTGAATTGATGTCTAGTTTGAGCAACTTGACTATAACTTAATGTTTAGCCTATTCCGAAGTTGGCGCGGCTCCAGTTAAGCATCGTGTATAAACGAACAAATTTTGGTGTTTTAAGTTTGAGAACATGTGCGCGCCTTCTGTTTCAAGGCGTTATTGATTAAGCTACGTCAAGTTATGGGGCTACAGCTTGTGAATATAAAGTGAACTAAAATAATTGTAAAATTTATGCACTTGAGATATGTAAAAAAATTGTTCAATGACCTTAGAACATGATCACACCCACTCGGCCAATCAGAACACAGTATTCCAGTGGTCTATATCCCATAGTATATTAATTCGTTAAGTGGTGTGGGCTTTGAAGCACTCTTCTATATAGAGAATGCTAATGAATCTATTGTTTTCTTTTGTTTTGTAGCTTCATTAGTATGCTCTATATAGAGCGTACCAGTGACCACATAGAGCATACTAATGAGTTACATTTGAAGGCGTCAACGACAAATTGTTTACTGCAAAAAATTTTATTTAATATAAAGCTCAAAAATACAGCTGTACCTTCACACCAGAGGAGGTTGGACAGCAGGCCGCAAAGCATCATGGGTATTGAGCGCCTAATTCCGCGCGTGACTTCATTGACTGTTGACTGTCGAGGAGTGAACATCTCTGACTAAACCATAGATATCTCATATACACTAGATAGCGCATCCCACCCTGTAGGCAGGCGAAAATTGAAGCCTGATCGCAGTCGCAGTTTACGTGCGGCGGCCATATTGGTCGTTCCCACGGAGCGTGATAATTTGTATATTTTGTATTGCGGAAATGGACAAAGTTGACAATAAATCCTCTTTTATGCAGTCAATTTTGGTTTTTCAAGTGTGCAACTTGTTGTAAATGATGCCAGATCGTTGGAGCTTCATATTGTGAATAACGGGTAGGCAGAATTTAATTATTTTTTTCGAAAATATCAATATTTGTCGACCCGTATGAAGGGCGCCCATAGGACAAACCCTATAGACAAACCATCATTGTTGATGTATATATAAATATAGTTCCACCAATTCCAAATAAAACATTTTGAGCTATCGCCATTGCTTCATGGCAAAATTGTGAATGTATTTGCATATTCTTTTGTAAAAGACAGCGACACTGAAAAACATTTTAGTCACAGTTTATCAATGGCAAAATATATAAAACATTGACACCAAAAATGGTTCTTACTCCTTACTATTTGTATATTTATTACATACATACATACAACATATCATATATTATTTTATAGTTCCATGGAATCACATCAAGATTAAAATGTATTAGAAGCTAGAGAAGAATAATTGCAACTTAATATATTCGCAGGCAATAATATTTAACATAATTGCTATTGCTTTATGTAAATGTAGTTGATGATCAAACTTTCTAAAACCTTCAATTGTATGAATGCTTCAAACTATCTTTAATATTTGATGTTAAGAAATATTTCTTTCTGTTGAGTCCTAGACCTTTTGTTTTTAATTCAAGCAATCAAACTGCCAAATTACTGTAATTATTAACAGCATAGGTCATTGATAATCAGTTGAATTTTAGAACTGCTTTGGGAAACCCTATTTTGTAATGAGACACATTACTTCTTGCATTATTGTATATTGTAAGGTCAATGGGATAAACTGCTTGATGCACAGTAGATTTTATAATTTTAAATATAGTTGCACTCACTATTGTATAAATAATTCTATTGTTATAATAAAGTATTACTTTTGACTTTGGGTAATAGTGTTTTCTAATTCTTTGACTCATCAGATGCACAATAATTAAATTTTTCTAAAAAAATAAATTTGCCAGTACTCTCAGGAATTGAAAACATGATAAACTCTCCATTTTTGCCTTTTGAGTTTAGTGGTTACTGTAAATATCATTAAAAAAATGTCCAATTTTAAAAAAAAATTTGGAGACCTGAAGAAGTTTTGGTGCCAATTGAAATTAAAAATTTGAATTAAACTCTGAAAATTTCATAGCAATGGGTAAAGTCATTCCTGATGCAAAAAGTATAAGAAGTAATAGTGAAGGGTCAAGTGACAGAATCAAAAATCAAAAGAAAACTTCCCAGGACATTTCATCAGTAAGCAATTTATTTTTAGTTTTTTACAAGTATACTATTATAATGATTTGAAATTAGATCCCTAAGAATGAAGTACTATGAAAACAGTTGATACAAAATGTTCATCAAGAAAAGTGGTCACCCAAAAAGCAGATGTTTATATGTTCTGACCACTTTTGTTCTGGTTGCATTGTCCATACTGTTCTGTTCTCAGAAAGCAGACACTTATATGTTCTGACCACTTCTGTTCTGGCTTCATTGTTCATTGTCCATATGTTCTGGCTTCATTGTCCATATACAATCTTTTTACTGAGCTAGATCACCATATTTTTGACTCACCAGTTGGTGAAAATCATGTTATATTTCAGTTGACCAAGAGCATCATCAAGAGTTACTGTGAAGTTAAATTTTACCATCTTGCAAAAAAGACCACTGAGAATTCATCTGGACAAAAAATTAGAAAGAAATTAAATAAACTTGTACCTTTTAAGCACCAGTGTGAGTGATTACACAAAATGTATCAGAGAAAGCTAAATATTACTAAAATTTACTATGAAACTGCCCAAGCTGAAAGTGCAGACTCTGCCTCAAACATAATTTTACTAAAGATTTATAGTGATAACTGCCCAAGCTGAAAGTGCAAACTCTGTCTCAAACGTTTCACTAAAGATTTAGAGTGAAAACTACCCAA